TCTTGAAACTGTGGCAATTCGACAGAAATTTAATCTTTTATAGGATGTCCGGCCGTCGCAAGGCGACACCAGTTAGACTTTCCGAGACAAGAGAAACACTTCTTCCTGCTAGAACTATAGAATCGATGCCAAGTACATCGGCCGCTAGTGATACTCAAACTGGTAGTATTTCGGGTACCATACTGACATCAGAATCAACCGCACCAGCTAAAATATTGCAGAAGCAGCGAATTCCTGATGACGTTGTAAAGGTAATTCTTTTGTGTTAGTAAATTTCATCAAGTTCTCGCTTGAAACTAGTGCTGTTTTGGTAATGAAATTTTGTATTTTAGCAAGAACTGCCAAGAGAGCAAGGAGTGATGGAGATGAATTCAACATCTTCACCTCGGAGGCATGCAGATTCATCGAAAAGTGATGCATCAAGTATCTCAGAAAACACCAAGTTCGTTTTTCTTGATTTATCATTCTAGAATTATTGCTGCTGTATTATCATTATTCCCACCTTTGCTTTTTGCCTTTTGGACGTACCGGAGTGATTGCGCGATCCCGAATCAATCGGAGAGATTCGATTTCTTTAAAAAGCATGTGAAAAGAAGACGGATTTTCAAATTAATACTTCATTTTGCTCCTTTCGAGCAAATGTCGTATGTCCCACTATGGGATTCAGTGCTCCATGAAACAGAACAGGAATGTAATTTCATGCAGGAGGATAAGTTGAAAAGCTAAAAGGGATGTTTGAATAATTGATGCTGGTTGGAATATAATAATAACAATGCTTTGAATGCTATATGCTTAATATAAAAGCCTCATCCTCCTCTCTCGCTCTTCCGGTTTTTCGAAAAGGGCTGCTCGCTCCTCATTTTACAAACCAATGAATTGAAATATAAAACGAATCCTCTGGTGCGTAACCGAACACACATACATACACACACACACACACACACACACACACACACACACACATAGCGCTCTCGCAAAGTATAACTTCATTATTCAAGCTGCTAATTAATCAAAGGTTCTACAACTTTACAGACAGCTCCAAATAGATCGAATTCATGGGGTTTTTCCTTGTTTATATACTTGGAGACCTCTTTGTAGTTTTACGACATCTGTTTTTGATCCAGCTGGTCAAGAAATTGTTAACTTGAATTTTTTGCTTATTTCGTATGAGTCAATCCAGTAACGATGCGTTCCGGTATTGCTGATACGATCTTGTGTGCTTGCAACCTGGAACTTGTTGTATTAGCATGCGAGAAGTGAGTGTGTGTGAAAACTTCTGTTGCGTTTTTGTATCGCACGGAATCGATCAGTATTCTTATAAAATTTCAATTTCTTGCCTACCTAATTGCCGAGCGAGTAAGATGAAAGCAGCATTGCAATTTGAACATTTAATACATCTGTATGCGGGGCGAATGCGTAAGCAAAAGTTCATTTTGAACTTACTAGTCCACAGACTATCAGTAAACTTCCTTAAAAAGTACTGTTCTCTCTTCATCTGGTTACTGAGTTAATTGGATGTCAACAGTGTTCCGACGTAAATTTCCATTTGCGGGCACGCGGGACCAAGGCGCGCTTCAAAGCTGAATTTGAAATATTTAGGCCACACATTGACATGGAATATCTTCGTAAAATTTCAATTCCATACTATGGCTTGTTGGCGGTATTGCTTTTCGTCATAAGTAGCTTTGTCGCATCCAAGCACATTAAAACTCACTTTGCGCCTTTATGCCCATGTAAAGAACACTATATTTTCGTAAAATTAGAGAGTCCTAATCAGCTTGGTTTCCGGGTTGGCATTTTTCCAACGTTGCCAATTTTCCTAAGCGTGCGTTAAAGTTGGGTTTGAAATCTTTGTTTCACAGAAGGACATTTTCAGCCCGCCTGATTTCTGAAATCACTTTCCTGTCAAAAAATTTACGTTTTCATTTTGGGCACCTGTGCATGAAGCCCAAGCGCACGTGAATGTGATATTAAACTGTTTGAATGACACGCGGGCTAGATACATATTTGTGAAATCCCTGCTTCCTAACTTTAGCGGTTGCTGAGTTGAATGTGGGGAACAAAAGTCTGAACACACGTAGACGCACATATACACACATTTGCACACAAACAACATACAC